ATATTGCCCGAAACACTTCAGAATTTATCTTGCTGCTTTTGTCATCAGTCACATCATCAATAAATACAAGAGAACCAGTTTCATTGGCAGCCATACGTGCCCAAACCATGTCACTACTACTAACATGCTTCACTGCTTAGGATCATGAGCAGTTCCTTTCCTTCTTTATACTTTCCTCTTCCCATCAGTCTGGTACAAGTTGATCTTGATCTCATCTGACCTATTATACTCATATAATCATATACAAACATATACATACGACAGAGCAAAAACAAAAGTTAAATAAAGAGCGCTTTGTGGTTTTCTCAATCGGATTCAGGTCAGGTGATTGACTTGGCCATTGCATAGCATTCCACTTCTTTCTCTTCAAAAACTCTTTGGTTGCTTTTGTATGCTTTGGGTCATTCTCCATCTGCGATATGAAGCACCGTCCAATGAGTTCTGAAGCATTTGGATTAACATGAGCAGAAAATATTACCTGAAACACTTCAGAATTCATCCTGCTGCTTTTGTCAGCAGTCACATCATCAATAAATACAAGAGAACCAGTTCCATTGGCAGCCATACATGCTCAAGCCATCTCACTACTTACCACCATGCTTCACTGCTTAGGATCATGAGCAGTTCCTTTCCTTCTCCATGCTCTTCTCTTCCCATCCTCAAGTTGATCTAGTCTCATCTGTCCAATTATACACATATAATCATATACAAACATATATACATACAAAAAAGCAAAAACAAAAGTTGAATAAAGAGCGCTTCATGGTTTTCTTGGGAGCCAAATAGTATTCAAGTGCAAAAATCGAATTATTAAATAACCAAATGTACAATAACATGGTCATTACTGTATAAATATAACAATATATAATTTAATCTTCAAAAAATGATAAATTTTGCGATGTCGATGCTCAATCGATATATCGTTCAGTCCTAATTAAAATGAACGAATGTGCGAATATTACTTTACCTCAGTTTCTCTTTAGACTATTTCCACGTATATTTTTTCTGACTGTGTAGATGTCCCAGGACTCCTCTGCACTGAGGGAGGAAGGAAACAACCATTTTAAAGCCGGCGATGTCCAACAAGCTCTGACCTGCTACACAAAAGCCCTGAAGATCAGCGACTGTCCATCCGAGAGTGCAGTCCTGTACCGCAACCGCTCAGCATGTTATCTTAAACTCGAGGACTACACCAAAGCAGAAGAAGATGCCACAAAATGTAAAAAAGAAGAACACATAAGTATGTGGATTTTCATCACAAACACATCTCCTAACTAAATCGTCTGTTTCTTTGTTTTTTTTTGCTCTCAAGCTTTGGATGTTGATCCAGGTGACATCAAGGCCCGGTTTCGTCGAGCGCAGGCTCTGCAGAAGCTCGGGCGGCTGGATCAGGCGTTCATGGACGTTCAGAAATGTGCACAGCTCGAACCCAAGAATAAAGCTTTCCAGGATCTGCTTAGACAGCTCGGAGCTCAGATCCAGCAGAAGGTGTGGGTTATGAGTGATGCTCGCACTGTTAATATTAATGATGTGAAAATAACCCCATATTTGTGTTTATATATGTGTATAGGCAACACAGCTCTCCTCCACAGACTCACGGGTTCAACAGATGTTCAAACTCCTCCTGGATAGTTCAGCACCAATTGCAGACAGACAGAAGGTGGGTAAGACTTAAACGGATAGTTCACCCAAAAATGAAATCTGCTTACTATTGACTCACACGCAGGAATTTCTTTCTTCTGTTGAACACAAAACAAGATATCCTGAATAATGTTGGGGGAAAATACAGTCATTGGCGTCCATTGTATGAACACAAAATACTATAGAAGTCAATAGCTGTTTTTTCTAATAGTGTATCCTCCTTTATGTTTAGCAGAAGAAAGCAACTCAGACAGATTTAGAGCAAGTTGAGGATGAGTGAATGATGGCTGAATTTTACGCTGGGGTGATAGTAGGGTTGTAACGGTATGAATTTTTCACGGTATGATAATCGTCTAAAACAATACCACGGTTTGACGGTTTTGCGGTATACGGTATGTTACAAATGTTACAAAATAATAGAACAGTGAAGCAAATTTGACTTTTTCCAAATAATATATTTTTAGTTACTATAAACAACACCACTTACAATGAACAAATAAAAATAAGAAAATAATAAATAATGTGTCAAAGTCCAAATAAAGTCCAAATAAACATGGTGCAAATCCTCAGTAAAAAATAGATATAAATATTTACTATACTATAAATAGTTACATAACGAAACTAGATTCAATATGGAACATCCTTAGGTTTTATGTGCCAGCATGGATATGAATGTGGTTGTATGCAATGCAGACAAACAGCTGCATCTTCATTTGCGTCTTTTGAAAACAGCAAGAGCAGCAGTTCGTCTTTGCTGTGTCACTGTTTTGTCATGTTTCTGTGCTGCTGTGCATGCAAAAGTACTTAGTATGAGAATTATTTCATGCAAAACATGTTTTTTTTTGCGTTTTATTTAGCCGCGCATAAATGTATGCCTTTCTCTCATTCCGTGTTGTTCAAAAAGCTTGGTCCACAAACAAAAGCGAAACCTATGCTTATTGGTTGTGATATAGCGAGTTTGAACCAATCTGGGCATGGAGGAGGGACAATGCATCAATGTATCATGTCTGATTTGTCCGGAGACACAGTGACGAGCGTTTCTTTGTCAAATCAGCGTTGTCAAATGTTGATGACGTAACCGCACTGATTCCGGAGCCTCTGAAAGTCCGCGAATGTTATGTGATACATCACTGGAAAGCTGAGATTCTCTTCTTTATGCCAATCTTTGAATTGTATGAATCGGATCAGCGGATCAAAAGTTATTAAACATTTAAGAGCAATACTTATTTTTAGCCGCGGGCGGCTGTCTCGGTCTTTAAGGGTTAAAACTGTTGATATGCAATTGTTCATGGTATGATAATCGTGCACGTTCAAATCGTGGTAAACCGTCATACCGGTATATTGTTACAACCCTAGGTGATAGTATCTCTTTAATATCATTTCCGAAGTCTGATTTCTTTTGGAAGTCTTCATCCAAGCTCAAGAAAACACATATTATGTTGATTTACATTTTGGCATCATCTCTTTCCTCACAGTAGCTGGATTTCCATTACTCTTCAGATTACAGCAACTGAAATGATGCCTAATGGTGTGGGAATATACATTTTTATAATATATATATATACAGTTGAAGTCAGAATTATTAGCCCCCTCCAAATTTTTTTCTTCTTTTTAAAATATTTGCCAAATGATGATTAACAGAGCAAGGACATTTTTATAGTATGTCTGATAATATTTTTTCTTCAGGAGAAAGTCTTATTTGTTTTATTTCGGCTAGAATAAAAGCAGTTTTAAATTTTTTAAACACAATTTTAGGTACAAAATTATTAGCCCCCTAAAACTATATTTTTTGTCGATAATCTACAGAACAAACTACTTTTATACAATAACTTGCCTAATTACCCTTACCTGCCTAAGTAACGTAATTAACCCAGTTAAGCCTTTGAATGTAATTTTAAGCTGTATAGAAGTGTCTTGAAAAATATCTAGTCAAATATTATTTACAGTCATCATAACAAAGATAAAATAAATCAGTTATTAGAGATGAGTTAATAAAACTATTATGTTTAGAAATGTGGTGAAAAAAAATTACTCTCCGTTAAAAAAGAAATTGGGGAAAAAATAAACAAGCGGTCTAAAAATTCAGGGGGGCTAATAATTCTGACTTCAACTATATATATACAGAAAAGTTCAATTCTTTGGTTTTTAGGGTGTGACAGACCTAAAAATGTCTTGGTTTCCTGAGCCCTGACTGTCTCCAAAGTAATGCAAATTGTCAGTTTCACAGCACAGCTGTGTCTATTGTCTAACAAAAAGTCAACAAATGGTCAAGCAGGTCAACTGGTCGGACGAGTTCTGTCTCCAGAACATCTGTTGCACACTGTTTTCATGCTAAAATGTATTGTAAATGGGTACTTATCTGGAAAGGCAATTTACCCTGCCGACAACAACACTTCATTTTTATACTATGTTTAAGACTGTCCCTACCTACATGTATCAATGTCTGTAAAAAAAAAAAAAAAGTATCTTCTTATTAAAGAATTCTGCTTTGAAGATACCCGAAAGTTCTTCCTGCTTTTTGGCTCGTCTTGCCAAAACAGTCACAACAGTTTTGGTGCCGTGAGCCAGACAGAGAAATTCACAACAGTGGAACCAAGCCAGCTTCACGAAAAGTTTTAACACTCACATGGTTGTTCTGCCAAGTTGAAGAAGAAATATGTTGTGAAACTGCAAGAAAAGGAGTAATTTTCACATTAACAGGTCACCTTTGATTAAAATTATACTGGCTAGTAGTTTAGTGCCTCTGATAAACGGTATGTAAACCTACCAACATTCGTCATCAGTATTTTTATAATGGATTCACATTAGTTTATCAATGACATTTAGAATTCAAAATGTTTGCACAAACCGTACTAGAATCCGGCAGTGCATCCAAAAGCTCAATCTTTAAATATTTTTAACAGGACAACTGTTAGATTCATAATCCAATGTATACACAGTATGTAAAAGGTCAGAAAAACGTTAACATGCCCTAGAAAAAAAAGTGTTTTGCTGTTTGTTCAAACTACTCATTTAAAATGAGCTGAAACAACAAAATTCTTAAGTTTTTATTTGGGAAAACTTAATTGTTTTATGTTCAACCCACACCAATTTGTTAAAACAATTACATCCACTTAATTGATTTGTGTTTAGAAAACATGAAGGAATTGTGTGGAACCCAACATTTTTTACAGTGTACAGTTGTGTTTCAGGCTGCTCAGAATCTGGTGGTACTTTCCCGTGAGGACGCTGGCGCTGAGCAGATCTTCAGGAATGATGGAGTCAAACTCCTGCAGAATCTCCTTGAGTCCAAACAAGAGGAACTCATCCTTTCTGCTCTCCGGACTCTGGTCGGCCTGTGCACCGGACACCAGTCCAGGGTGAATAACATCCATTTATACACTCAAGTTATATCTGATATCTCCGCTAGTGCTGGGTGATTAATCGAAATTCAATGTGATTGATTGTCATGTGGGTGGCATGGTGGCTCTGTCGCCGTACAGCAAGAAGGTCGCTGGTTCGAGTCCCGGCTGGCCAGTTGGCATTTCTTTGTGAAGTTAGCATGTTCTCCCCATGTTGGCGTAGGTTTCTTCTGGGTGCTCTGGTTTTCCTCACAGTCCAAAGACATGCACTATAGGTGAATTGGATGGATTAAATTTGCCATAGTGTATGAGTGTGTGTGTAAATTAGTGGGTATGGGTGTTTTCCAGTATCGTGTTGTGGCTGGAACCGCATCAGCTACATAAAACAAATGCTGGAAAAGATAGCAGAGGACACGGTTGCTCATGCCTTTTGGCTCTGTCCCCTACTGAACAGATTCTGGACCAACATATTTGACTGGTACTCCAAGGCTTATAGTACACTTGTTCTGCCAGATGCCGAGCTCGCTATCTTTGGACTTTCATAAAACACATCTTCTCTCCCTCAAACAGTGCAAGCGTCTTTAATGCAAGCCATGGTGGTTGCTAAAAGACTATTGCTTAATAATTGGAAATCACCGTTACCCCCCTCATTCCAGAACTGGATTTCTGATATGATGTCTGTTATTCGGATGGAGAAACTCAGATTTTTACGGACTAGCTCTACTCCACTAGCTAGACTCCACAAAAACATTTTTGGCTACTTAGGGTCAATTTCTTGCTTTATTTGATATATCTACATCTCAAGAGCAATCCAGTGACTCCTCTGAGGTTTAAGCTATACACCCTCACTAGTTTTAATTGTATGTTTTGTGACTATAATGTGTGTTTTTTTTTTCTTTGTGTTTATTTTGTCTCTTTTCTATGTTGTTTTCTTTTATATTGTCTTTTGTTTGTCTAAAGTACGAGCAAATGTTTGTTCTGTGTGTGTGTGTGTGTGTGTGTATATATATATGTATATATATGTGTGTGTATATATGTATATATATATGTATATATATATATATATATATATATATATATATATATATATATATATATATATATATATATGTATGTATATGTGTGTGTGTGTGTGTATGTATGTATATATATATATATATATATATATATATATATATATATATATATATATATATAAATGCTTAAAATAAAGTAATTAAAAAAAAAAACAAATGCTGGAATAGTTGGCGGTTCATTCCGCTTTGGCGACCCCTGATAAATCAGAGAACAAGGGCTGAAGGAAAATTAATGAATAATCACATTCATTTTGAATGCCATGCACATCTTGTCAAGGACTTTTTTTGTGAACAGTAATAAATCACCTCCTGAAGACCAGAGGGCTTCTTCCAGAAGCTACAAATACATCATAACCAGAGAAGATAACCAGAAAATCACCAACATTTTTTATTGTATATGCTAAACATTTAACAATCATAACCATAACAACATTACAAAATCTTGCAATTAAGACTTTCACAGAAAAACTGAGAATAATAATAATAATAAAACAAGATTAAATAAAATGGAAAAAAAAACAGAAAAGGGTATATTTTGATATTTCTAATTTACTAGAACCGTCTTTACTGACAAAATGTGCATGGTATTTGCCTAAAAATATTCGCCTGGCTCAAAGATATCATGTCTAAAGTTCTCAATTTATGCTAATGATCTCATTGGTAGACCATGGCCATTGTGAACGAGCTGGGGATGGAGCGATTGTGTGGCGTCATGGGCTCTTCTGCCTCCAGCGTGTCTCTTTCAGCCTGCCATCTGCTCCAGGTGATGTTTGAGGCTCTTACAGAGGGCATGAAGAAACGGATCCGAGGGAAAGATGAAGCCATACTGCCAGGTAAGACAGGACCCGTGTCAGCGACCTACTTCAAGACAAGACCAAAAATCATTTCTGTTCTACTTTTTTAAGCCTGGGTCGTGTTGAGAGTACAACTGGGTGTTTTATTGAAAAATAAGCTGCATTATCGGGATCAGGACACCAGTATGAAGGGGTTGTGTGTCACTGTGACAGGCTTACAGTAATAAGGAATGAATAAATACAGCAAAAAAAACATCTAAAGATATGAATAAGTAAGGTAGTTCATTTAATGTTAAGTAATTAAACAATCAAACCGTCAGAATCAAGTCTTCACAGAGAGCCTTTTTTAAAAATGTCCTTTTTAAGTTATCTATGCAGCTTTATCAGTGTCCTATATATTTTAAAGTTTTTTCCTTTAATTTGATACAATTTTGGGACTAAATTTTGTTTATTTATGAGATGCATTATTGTGGCATAAAATGTATCACTTTTATCATTTCAAATTAATAATTTCTACTATTGCTTTTGTAAAGAAAACATCTGAGTAATATTGATCTTGTTTTGATGTTGATTCAATACTAGAAATTATTATGTAAGTTTCATAAACCTGACTGATTTCATCATTCATAAATTAGATGCTTCAATTACATTAATACTGAACTAGTTCTCAGATGATATGTTTTTGTAATTTAATTGCAATGGAACAAACTTACATATATTTACATACTTATTATTTTATTTATATACATATTTACAATGGTATATACAGTAGAACTCAGAATTATTAGCTCCCCTGAGTTATTAGCCCCCCCCCCCTTTTTTTTATTTTTTCCCCAATTTCTGTTTGTCAGAGAAGATTTGTTCAACACATTTCTAATCATAATAGTTTTAATAATTCATTTCTAATAACTGATTTATTTTATCTTTGCCATGATGACAGTAAATAATATTTGACTAGATATTTTTCAAGACACTTCTATACAGCTTAAAGTGACTTTTAAAGGCTTAATTAGGTTACCTAGGCAGGTTTGGGTAATTAGGAAAGTTATTGTATAATGATGGTTTGTTCTGTAGACTGTCGAAAAAAATTAGCTTAAAGGGGCTAATAATTTTGACCTTAAAACGATTTTTTAAAAAATAAAAACTGCTTTTATTCTTGTCAAAATAAAACAAAAAAGACTTTCTCCAGAAGAAAAAATATTATCAGACATACTGTGAAAATTTCCTTGCTCTGTTAAACATCATTTGGGAAATATTTAAAAAAATAAAAGAAAAATTTAAAGGGGGGCTAATAATTCTGACTTTAACTGTATATAAAAATGTATTTTTCCTGATATTTTTAATTTTTGTTAATGTGTCATTAAAAAATTAGAAATTCAGATTTTTTTTTCTAATATTGAAATTCTGATGACATTTTTTTATGTTTTTAATTAATAAAAATGTATCAATTTTAAGGGTGTGATGAGACGCTTACTCCTCGAGACAAGACACAAGATTGAGTTCATGAGATTGAGATGAGATTTTTACAGTATTTTTAAGAAATCGTCAATGATCACAACTCACGAGAACTTTTCACCTCGATGAGAAATCTTGTTGTGATTTGGTCTCGCGAGATCTAGTAGCCCAAGATCTCATCTGATCACATCCCTAATAAATATAGTAATAACAAGGTAAAACCGTCACACATTATTTTCACATACACTTATAAAGAATATCCATCATTCATTTGTTCATTTTCCTTTAGCTTACACCCTTATTTATCAGAGGGTCACCACAACGGAATGAACCGCCAAATATTCCAGCATTCTTTTATGCAGCGGATACCTTTCCAGCTTCAACCCAGTTCTGTAAAACATCCATACACTCTCGCATTTACACACACACTCATACACTAAGGCCAATTTTTCATTCATTCATTCATTCATTTTCCTTCGGCTTAGTTCAGCTGCAACCCAGTACTGGGAAACATCCTTACACACTTATTCACAATCATACACTACAGACAATTTAGTTTATTTAATTCACCCATAGTGCATGTCTTTGGACTGTGGGGGAAACCGTAGCACCTGGAGGAAACCCACGCCAACACAGGGAGAACATGCAAACTCCACACAGAAATGCCAACCGACCCAGCTGGGACTCGAATCAGCGACCTTGCTGCTGTGAGGCGACAGTGCTAACCACTAAGCCACCCTGCCACCCCCATCAGATACAATATAGTGTTAAATAGTTCCAAATAGACCCATCACAAAAAAAAAAAACATTTCTTTTTATGTAAAGATTTAATTTATTATGAAAGTTAAAGCAATAAACCCCTTTTAGGAGTAAATTATTCAGGTCTGGAGTCATAATTATGAGATGTAATTTTGAAATGCTCTGTGTGTGTGTGTGTTGCAGAACCGTCCCGCGAGTTGCGCTCCATGTTGCGTCATCTGCTTGACATGCTGCCTGCATCCAGTGTGTCTGGTGCGGGACGTGACAGTGCCATCAACCTGCTGGTCAAACAGGTGCCCCGAAAATCAGTGAAAAACCCCGACAACTCACTCAGCCTGTGGGTCATTGACCAGGGTACGACTGAGCATAATTCTGATCTCCTGTGTGGCATCAGTGATGGTGGAAACACCTGGACAGATTATTTGATGGTTGTGTTTTTTTGTTTTTTAAGGGCTTAAGAAGATTCTGGAAGTTGCTGGAACTGTTGCTGAGGTTGAAAACGGGCCGCCGCTCACTGAAAACACTCACATGAGCTGCTCTGTGCTGCTTAATAAGCTTTATGATGACCTGAAGAGCGATAAAGAGAGGGAGAACTTCAGCAAGCTCTGTGAGGAATATGTGCAGTAAGTCATACAAGTTATGAATATTATTTAAAGCAGATTGTTTACATTTAAGTCATAGTACTTTATTAAACTAAATGAATATTAGATTACATTATATATAGTTATATTATTTGAAAAGTCTTTATATTGACATTTTATTATATGTTTAAATGTAAATAGTGCATTTAAATGTTTTATTTTTTTTCTAAGTAGTTTTTTGAAATATTTTGTTATTGTATCCTGTATGTGTATTTTATCTGATTATATTATATTATCTGAGATGTATATATTAATGTTATATATTTAAATAGCACATTATTTTCAAGAATTAG